ATCCCTTGCAGCTGAGAGAAGAAAAATAAAATATATTCCGCGTGGTGAGCATCGGGGCGTGACACCTGAACTTCGGGTTCAGGGATCCGTCGTCGAAAGGTCCCAGCGAAAAGGAAAAGAAATATGGAGGCCAAAGCCTCACAGAGACGATAGAAGAGAAAGAGGAACTGATCTGGGCGTGACATCTGGTGTAGCCTCCCAGAGATCCGCCTTTCATAAAAATCGTCAACAATGGGTACCTAAGGAAAAGGTGCCTATTATTGACATTGACAATAGTCGACACTTTAGAAAATCATCTAAGGAATCCTATTGCCAACCAACGTCAACCTCTCAAAGAAAAGTTAATTTTGACCGCACCCCTCCAATCGAAGAAGTTCATGTACCACATGAAGAGCCAGAAATCTATTGGAAACGTCGCTCTGAGATTTCTGTACAAGAAAAAGATGATGATAAAGACACCATGGAGGTTGAGGTGGTCTACATGGTGGGATATGGTGATGAGCCACATCAAACACGTGGCTATAGACGACGCAATGAAGCAGTGCCCACTTCTTCTAAAACAACCTCTCAAGAAGATCAAGTTCAGTACGAGCAGTTAGAAGAAGAAGAAGTCCCTTCAGATGATGGACAAAATGATGATCAGGAAGAAGAAGTACTTGCTGAAACATTGGCACAAGCACAAAGGCGTTTGAAACATCAAATGAAGGAAAAAGATAAGGAGATATCAGAGCTGAATAGCAAGATGACAGAAATGATGGCACAGATGACTGCGATGATGCAGTTAATGCAAAAGAACGTCCTTACTACTCCTGCACTTGCTCAGCCAGTTGATCGTCAAAATCAACCAGTTAATCAGCAGATATCAAGTAGTATTCCTACTAATCTACCAACCAACTCAATACCCAAGGTGTCCGGAATACGAACCGGAAATGAAGAAGAAAATGAGGCTGATCAACCTGTTCATCCACAAACTCATCAAAATATTGCAAGTGCATCTGAGCCGATGATGACTTCACAGCTAGAATCAATCATCAACGAAAAGATTAAAGCTGTTATTGCATCAGAACATGTTGAGAAATTTGTGAGCAAGGGTCGCCCGTATCCAGCTGAGTACGATCAGGTGCCCTACCC